AATAATATAATAATATATAATATATAATATTTAATTATTATATTTAAGTAATTATAAATATAAATTTAATATATACAATTTTTATAAATATGTAAATATAAATTATATATATATATATATATATATATAAAATACTAATAAGGTAATAATAAAATAGTAATAAAAAAAACAATAAAAAATAATAATAATTATAAAATAATATAAATTTTTAAAATGTAAATAAAATAACGTGAATTCACGTTAGCGGTCGCGAATGTGTTAAAATTCTAATACGATCAATAAAAATATTTATAAATAATTGATAAATATGTATATATATATATATATATATATATATGTATATGGATATAATTTAAAAGAAAAAACGTAAAAAATAATTTAATTTTTGCTGACCTAATGTCCCATAATTCTGCAGTGTCACCTAATGCTTCAGCCGTGAATCTTGACAGGTGCGAAGCCTTGCTAGATGAAAATACGCTTGTCAAGAGGATGACAAGTACCGTTAACATTAAAGTCTGCCACCCTTGACGAGTACGTAAGTTTCTAGTAACCTATTAAAAAAAAAAAAAATTAACTTCATTCTTCAGTCAAAAATAGTAGAATTGTGTTCATGCGACTATCGATGACGAATCGAATCTCTTTGCTTGAAAAGAATTGAAAAAAAAAAAAAAACAAACAAAAAAAGATTTGACATAAAACGTTTGAGGGATTAATTAATCTAATGTGAATGTGCATATAATTAATTTGATAAATGTTAATATTTAATGCAAAAACTTACAGATTTATCGATCGTACATCGACCGGCTTTTTTCCCGATGAAAAACATGATGTGTACTCGTTAGTCCAATAATTGTCTTTAATATCCAACAACTTATATATATATCAATAATTTTTGTACAATTATTTATCGACGAATATATACACAAATGTTATTCCAGTAAGAATAACTTAGAAATGATGATATTTAACTTCATCGTTATTTTATTTTGATTATATTACAATTCTACGATCCTTTGTTCCTATTAATAATTATAATTGTTTTATAATTCTTTCCAAACACGCAATTTTATCGTCAAACAAATTTGCTTTGCACCCCTTTTTTATTTTTTTTTATCTCACTGATCGTTCGTTGTTTGTTTTTTTTCTTCCCTTTCTATCTCTGTTTCACTCGTATTATATCCTTTCTTTATTTATCTCCTGTTGATATTTTTCTTTGCCCTCCCACTACTTTCCTTCCTTTAATTATCCTTTGTGGTGGTATATATCCTAATCCTTTGGAACGACTTTTCACGATGCCTGTGATGAACAACTCCCTAAGGAACTGCAACCGAGCCGAAACGATCTTGCGGTTGACCTTGCCGCAACGACTAAGGATAGTGACCTTACAGAAGACGCTTATATTCCTGCTACTCTACTCGTCCTCTCTTCTCCTGTTTCTCTTCTCCTTCTTAACCCCCTCCCCTTCTTTACCACCCCCCCTGCCCCTGCCCCCTTCTTTTTCCTTACTACCTGACATGACTGCTCTACCTCTTTCTCTCTTTCAATTTTTCCCCTACCTACCTACCTACCTATCTACCTATATCTACCTATATCTACCTATATCTACCTACCTTCGCAAACTCATCCCACTTCCTCTCCTTCTGTTCATTTCTTCAACTCCTTCCTTCCTTCCTTCCTTCCTTCCTTTTCTCTTTTCTTCTTCTTCTTCTTGTTCTTCTTCTTCTTCTTCTTCTTCTTCTTCTTCTTCTTCTTCTTCTTCTTCTTCTTCTTCTTCTTCTTCTTCTTCTTCTTCTTCATCTTCTTCTTCTTCTTTTCAACTTAACTTCAAAGATGATCATCTGCAGCATGATTTCTATGCTTCTTTTCATTCTCTTACTCTTTTTGTTCTTTCTTCTTCTTCTTCTTCTTTTTTCTTTTTCTTTTCTTTTCTTACCTTCTTTCTTCTTTACTTAACTTCTCCATTTTGATTTTTATTGCTTATTTTTGTTTACCTTCTTCATTCTCTTATTTTCTATCACTTCTTTATGAATATTCTACAAAAGTTTCTTTTCAATGTTCATTTTTTACAATCAGTGACATGATTTGTTTTTTTTTCTTTTCATTCTTTTGAATTGACTTTTAAAGGATTAGGATAATAAATCTTGATACTCTTTATTTTTTTAATATCATAATGTATTACTTTAACCAGTTGACTGTGAAATTTAGTTTTAAAAGATCATCATCATCACAGGGTGCGGAATTAAAAATAAGCAACGACGTGTATACACGTTGAACGCAGGGCAAATGGTACTATTAAACATTTTGAGAAAAACGAGGAAGGATTATATTTTTATTCAAAGTCAATAAAACTAACAATTAGTTTATGAATACGTTATTCTTACTAAAAGCTTGAAAATTGTGAAAAAATAATAAAATACATAAAACAAGAAAAATTGAAGATAGGAAGAATAAAGAAGAAAGAAAAATAAGAAAATAGTTAACAAAATTTTTAGCTATGTATGTGTGATATGTTTCAAAGTGTGCACTAGGGTGGGTCAAAAAAATCAATTATTTTTTTTTTTACAAGTGCCATGAAAAAATGGGTTGCTAGACACCTTAAAAGAATTCTCACCCAATATGAGCTCTTAATTTTAATAGGAAGATCCTCCGCATCGCAGTTTTTTATTTTTTTTTTTCAGTCCAATAGATTAATTTTGTAGGAAATTTAATGCTCTACAAAAAAGGTATCTTATACTTTTTCCGTAAACCTCACCATTTGAATGATATTGAAGATTTAAATTTGATGATTTTTAGACAAATCTCATTTTTGATTATGAATTTTATAACTCGACAATAAATGACTATTAAAAAGTGCACAATACAAATTTTTGTAGGAAATTAAGTGCTCTATAAAAATGGTGTCTTATGTTTTGGTGATTAAATTAAGCATTCAAAAGATATTCAGAGACAAAAATCACTACACATGAAAGTTTGATGATGAATAAATAATTAAATGATGATAATAAATAAATCATGTAAATATAAACCAATAAAAAGGTTACGAACTTTCTTGGTTAGTTAAATATACTTTTCTCGTATTAGAAATAAGTATTTCAACTTAATTGCATTATCTAATATCAGACAAGAGGAATTGAAAGAGTATAAATGGAATAATGTATTATAGTAAAATATATTTTTGAAATTTACTATATTCTCGAGTTATTGTATATAATAATTGCATTATCTAAGATGAGATAAGAGTAATTGGAAGAGTATAAAAGGGGGGATACATGTATTAATATAAAATATATTTTTGAAATATGCTATATATATTTTTGAGTTAATATATATATTAGAATATGTATATAATAATTGCATTATGTAAGATCTAACAAAAGTAATTGAAACTTTATAAAAGGAATTTATGCATTAATGCATTAATGTAAAATATACTTTTGAAATATGTGCTGTATATATTCCCAAGTTATTATATATAACAATTGCATTATCTAAGATCTGACAAGGATTAATTGTATGAGTATAAAAATGATACATGTATTAATGTAAGATATATTTTTGGAAATGTGTGTTCTGTGCTATATTCCCTTCATATATTGAGAACGCGTATTCTATCGGTGCACGGGTTTTAAGCATAGCGTGCGTCGTAATCCAGGCCGATGATTATACCAACGATTAACGGTACACTTTGGCTGACCGGTTGCGAGTCACTTGACTTCGAGACTACGATCGTAGCTCTAACATTCCAAATTCGTGACCACTAACACTCTACGTACTTATTTTAGTCGAGACGTTTCGTATTGCACATGGTCCGAATGTTGTTCTAACGTTCTACAACATTTTACAATTTATTAGCTTCTATAATCTCGACACATTAGATACAAATCTGTTCTCATATTACCATTTTAATAATATTAAAAAAAAAAAAATAAATAAAAATAAAAATAATAAGAGATGTTTTTTTAATGTTAAAAAAAGAAATCTTTTCTCATTTCTAAAAATTAAATGTGTTTTTTTTTTTTTTTAAACGACAAATAAAATTCATTTATTTGTGGTTTATTTAAACGATAAATACAATTTATTTATTTTACTGAAAGACATTTTGTTTTCTTTATTTTATTTTTTTTTTTTTTTTCTTCAATGCTGTTGAGTCAACCACAATACGTGGGGAGTTTAAATAATTTTCTTAATAATACGCACCGGTTAGACATTTCTTTATTCTTTTTTAATACAACGTGTTCAGATGATTTGTAATATATACTTTTTTAAGAAACTTTTTTTGTTTTTTTCTTTTTTTTCAATCTGCAATTTCTTTTTTAACATATATTAAACAAATGTAATATAATTTTTAGGTAGATTTATTTTTAAATGGATATTGAAATGAATTATTTATTAAATTAGTATCATTATAAATATTTTGTGTTAATCCTTTTAACTGAATAAATATTACAGAAGTATATACTAGTTTTGTTATAATTTTATAATAATTTTATTAACGAAAAATATTGTACTGTATGTTACAATGTCATATATTTTTTCTAAAGTTATTGATAGATATTATAATATTTAATAATATTATAAATATATATATATAATATATTATAATATAATATATTATTACATAATATTATAATATAATTATATTATATATAAAATATTATTATATTTTTATTTATTTAGTATTATTATTATTAGTATTAATTATTTAAATATAATATTTAAATATTATATATATATATATATATATATATATATATATATATATAT